TTAGTCCATTTACATTTATTGTTATTACAAATCTATTTGGGTTAATTCTTCCACCTAATTTTGAGCATTTTAAAAATTTTCTCTTCTCTTCCTCTTTTTTCTTGACACTTCCATGAAGTTTTATTTATTTCCTACAAGTACTGGTTGGAATTAACGCATTCCATTTGTTTTCTCTTTACCATTAACATTTTGTTTTTGTTTTGGTACTGGGGATTGAACTCAGGGGCACTTAACCACTGAGCCACTTCACCAGCCCTTTTTTGTATTTTATTTAGAGACATGGTCTCACTGAGTTGCACAGGGCCTCGCTAAGTTGCTGAGGCTGGCTTTGAACTCACAATCCTCCTGCTTCAGCCTCCCAAGCCACTGGGATTATAAGCGTGTGCCACCATGCCTGGCTTCTTTTACCCTTATATTTAATATGCATATTTGACTTAACAAAATCTGAAGTTAATTAGTATCTCTAAGGAATAGTTAAGGCTTTGGGTGATGCCTAAAAAGGAAGAAAAGGAAGGAATAAGAACTTAGAACCAATTTGGAACCAAAGCTAATCCTGTTTTTTTATATGCTGGGTTTAAGGACATGATTATCTTAATTGTCACACACACATCTACTTTTGGAGGCTTTATATACTTTTCAAAATGCCCTGCTTTAAGGGTATTCTGTATTGCATAGGTAGTGAAGGGGATAAATAAATAAATGTCAATGTTTGCCTTTCCTTGATTTCTAAAACCATAAGACTTTCCTTCCAGCTTCATCACCAGAGCCAAGCTGAGTACAGATGTCTCCTAGAAATAGCAAGTTTAATAAACGTCATTGCAATAGCTGCTGATAAGCTGAGAACCAGTCTGAAAGAGGAACTGAATCCCCTCTTATACAACCATGGTTTACCTTTGCCTCCTGCTCCTCTCTGCAGTTTGTGGCCTAAATAATGGGAAGAGGGACTTAGCTTAAATTTGGGAGGGAATGAAAAATAACTTTCAGGATGGGGGATGTAGCTCATTGGGAGAGCAGGAGACTAGCACTGCAAAAAGAAAAACAGAAAAATCCTCTATTTTCAAGCCCATTGAAAAATTATCTTAAATGAAGCATTTAATCATAAATGACCTAGACCACACCAGGCTTCAACTAGTTCAATATAACCAGTTAATCTTGTCTCCTATAGGTCAAATTACAATTTTAAACTGTCCCAAGGGCTTTTGTGAATATTGTTCCTATTTAACCTGACCCCTCCGTGTATTAGGGAAGGTGAGGGTTATTAGAGGAAACACCTTAGAAGGAGGGATCCACTCCTCTTCCCAGCCACTTTGGGTGCAGGTAGGGTGGTGCAATGGTTGCTTACCATCCCACACTGTAATGTGACTGCTGTATTCCTGGGTAGGAGTGTCCACCTCATGTCCTGTTTGAGTGTCCAAATTCAGGGTCTCTTCCAGAGGCCACAGCTGACCAAGTGTGTCAGTCTCACACAGATGTTCTAGTAGACTCCATGCTCCTCTCATTTTGGTGTCACTGATAAATCAAGAAAATCACCTGGCTTTCCTAAAATCTCACCACTGTCCCAAATCTCTAAGGGCTGGACTTAGTGCATAATGATGACATAGAGTTCATTGGGCTTGATCTTCTTTATCTTCCAGCACAAACACAGATAATCCCCTCCCCTGACAGCCAATAAAAAGAAAATAGTAATGAGAAGCAGAGCTCATAAATTCCCATTATGCTTAATGCCTGATTTCACTTAGTTAATGGATTCATTTATTAGAGCAATTTGTGTAAATCCCCAAGGGCCTGCTAAGGTTGCTGCCTTCTGGTTTTATCATGTCATATACTTCCTTTATTCCTATCCTAAACAAATAGTGGATTGGCAGAGAACTTCAGACCAACCACAGCTCAAAAGATAGGTGAATTGTAAATAAAGTTAAAAATAAGAGCTTTTCGTGCCCCCTGGGGTTTTTGGCTGATGGCTAAATCCTCTTGCCCTGGCCTATCAGCTCGGTGTAGGCTCCAGGACTATGTTCCATTTTCCAGGATTATAGTAGCCATCTGAAGAATATAGTCACCCCATGACTGTGCATCTTATAGTGGGGAACAGGCAGAAAGCAGAGGGTGGCCTTGTTTAACTGCATGTTACATGATGGTCAGGAGGAAGGGAACCTTGAGGACCTGCTGGGCTTGGGCCAAAGTCATTTAGCTGGTGAGATCTCTGCACTGATAAGCCCGGCCTATCCACACAGGTGAATGTAAGCCTTAGTGTCATCTTTGGCCAGAGCTGGTCCTCTAACAACAGCCAGCCTGCTGCTGCATCCTCCTTCCCCCCAACCCCCCATGGAGTGGAAGCAAGAATGCAAATGGAGTCAAATCCGTGCACAACACTTAGAAAACTACTTCATGGAGACTGTTCACTGGGGCTGGATCCTTAACATGCCGTTGTCCCACCATCAGGGAAAAAAGCAGACAGAAATCCCCACTGGAGGAGACCCAGAGACTACAAGAAACAAAAACCACCCTCCTATTTTCACAGTTAAATGGCAACCACTAGAATATGATTGTTATCTCCTGTATACCAAATTAAGTAAATGACTTAGGAAATGCTTGGGAAAAAAATATCTATCTATCTATCAATCTATCTTTCTAAGTTGTATTTTAACAAGGGGTGGCATTGTGTAATGGAAATGTGATAGGTGAAGGGGACATAAGGGGCTCCCCAGGACTGGAGCATGGCTCAGTGGCAGAGCATGCTTAGCATGTGTGAGGCCCTGGGTTCCATCCTTGGGGATGGGGAGAGGGAAGAGAAGGGGATCTAAAATTGAGCAGAGAGAGACTGAGACTGAAATGGGCACAGAGAGACTAAGAGGCTTCAGATGACAGGGAGTGATTTGGAAGAGAGAGTGGAAATTTAGGAGAAGATTAGAATGTGCTATGCAAGGTCAACTCTGCTGCTGCCCTGTGAAGCAGACACAAATAGAATTAATTTTCTCCCTGTCACTATGTTGTGTGAAGAGGATTGGACAGAGTTTCACCATATGTGAGGGGTCATTTGGGATGGTCTGACTTTAAATATAGTTCTTATCGTATGTGCAAAATTTGCTTTGGGGGTCTTTGGAGAGACCTCAAACAGCAGTTGAAACAGGGTTCAATGAATGACCCATGTGGCTGCACATTAGGAGAAATATACCCAAACTAGCAGAGAAAACAAATGAAGGTTTCCAACATCAGTCCCAATTTAAATGTCACAAGGACAAATTATTCAGATTGGTGCCTTGATCTATGATGGAATTGCTTTCTGTAAGAGCAACTCCAGGAGGCTGCTGCAGAAGCCGCTGAAGGCTGTGGTGGGCTGGGACAGAGGGAGGCCAGCAGGTCTTCCCTGGGCTTATAGTGCTCAGTGATCTGGCCTCCTCCTGGGAATGAAGAACTGCCTGAGTCCTGATTCAAGGTCAGCAGGGGGCAAAAGCAGAGGCTGTTGGTAGAGAGAGTCAACCTTTGGGTCAAAAATGAAAAGAACCTAATGACAAATTTAAGGAGGCAAATGTACCTGCCAGGCATGGGTAAACCCCGCTTCTGCCAACACTGCAGCCTCCGTGAAACCATTTAACCTGTTCTCAGTGATTAAGGACAAGTCAGGGTTGTGTGTTCAGACTCATTTTGAGTCTTAGCTCTATCACTTCTAGCTGTTGACCTTGGGAAAACCAGGTAACTTCTCTAAGCTTTGATTTCATTTTATAAAAGATAGGATATTAGCATCCATGTCAGAGGATCATGGTGATGTTAACAGGCATTAACCTGTGGCTCAGAATATATTGTCGGTGGTGATGGTTGCTATGATTATAAGACCACTTGATAGTTCACCCTTATAGCTGGCCCCTCTCCACTTAGAAGCAAACCCCCCACAGCAGCTCCTGCTGTCTTTGACCTCTTTCTTTTCCAGCCTGTGTAGTCACCAGCCCTTCCATGGGGGAAATTCATGCTTTCAATGTAACATTCATTGGCTTTGTTTTTTTAATACTTTGGGGGTAATAATCCATGCATATTTATAATAATAATGTAAATTTGTATGCAGTAATATGTACAACATTAGGAGATTTTAATGTGCAATATGGAAGTTTTGGTTGTGTGTGTGTGTGTTGCTGGGGATTGAACCCAGGGCCTTGGGCATTTGAGACAGGCACTCTACCAACTGAACTATATCTCCAGCCCATTAGTTTTTGTGTTATGTCTCTCATAGTACAAAATAATCAGGATGAAGATGGCTTGGGACAGGTCAGACCTGACTTCTCTGTGGGCTATGAGGATGTGTGAAAACTATGGAACAAGCAGTAACCAGGCACAGCCTTTGTAGTGATCTAGCTCATAAAATTTCCTTTGGTACAGTGCTTTCCCTTTAAAAACCGTACTTGACCCCCTCCCTGCCTCCTCCCCTGGTCCTGGTTCTGTCCTCCTCACCAGCCCAGAATGATTCCTTCCCATTTTAACCCTTTGCTGTCTCTGCCGTCTTTCGCTCACAGGCCTCGAATGTCCCTGCCATCTGTGCTCTCTGCTGCCATAAGCCACGAGGCACCTAGTCTAAACAGTGTGAGGGTGGAGGGCAGAACCTCAGGCCTGGCCTCTTGGCTCTTGTGGGTTTCAGCCAGACCCAGGTGTTATTTTAGTGCAACTTCAGTGTTTAATTTGAGGATGTGTGTGGACCAGAAGGAGGGACCAAAACATGATTTTTTCCCCTTGGCTAAATGATTAAATTTAAAGTTCTAAAAAATGCACAGCTTGGTCCCAAGCTACGTCCAGTTGCAAAGACAGAAGGGCTGTGAAACACCCTCCCAGGCCAGGGACCACCCTGCCTTAGCCAGCGGCCACCTCACAGGCCCGTCTTCTGTGGCCATCACCTGGCCAGTCTGTGGTCACAAGCTAACCAGGCGCTCTGAGCTCTGAAGCAGTCCTTCTCTTCTTGAGTTTCTGCCGTGCCTTTACTGGAAGAATATTCTACAGATTTGTTTAATTTCTTACAGTCCTGAAGGTGTCACCAGCAGCCACCACTGAGCCATGGCTGAAGGGGAAATCACAACCTTCACAGCCCTGACGGAGAAGTTCAATCTGCCTCCAGGGAACTACAAGAAACCCAAACTGCTCTACTGTAGCAACGGAGGCCACTTCTTGAGGATCCTTCCTGATGGCACAGTGGATGGGACAAGAGACAGGAGCGACCAACACAGTAAGTAGCCATCCATATTGTACCCTCCTTGCTTCTGTCTTCTGCTGTCAAGGATGGGAAAGGGGAGAACTGAGCACTGGTACCCTCTTCTCCAAGGCTCTACTGGCAGGACACATTCAGAGGTAGGGGTACCATACCTGTGCAAAGAGCCCAGGTTTGGAAAAAGGGGAGTTGGGGGCTACTGCATATCTAAAGATGAACTATTGCAAGTTTTTAAAGGGATTCTCTGCTGACCTAACACAACTGGCTGCCAATGTTCAATTACTGGATGTTTCCTGAGTTTCTGTAACTAGTGAAAGATCTGGCCCCTGAGGCTGGCCTGGGGCTGGCTTGCTCCAGGATGGGAAGAGCCAGATGGGCAGGGACGGTAAATCCTGCACAAAGACCTGGGCTCGGTTTCAAGTGAATGGACTCTCCAGGTTATGCTTCCGCTGGGCTTGATTTGTGAAATCCTAGTGTATAACTGTAGCCTTACACATCATAAATTATGCAGCTCTCGCTCCGCACATCATGCAGATGTGGCTGTGGTAATCAGGAGGGGTAAAGTCATTCTCCAGATTCTATAGAAGCCGGAGAGGGAGCGCCGTCCAGCCAAAGGCTGACTGCCTCTTCCAGGTTTCCCGGTAGCCTGACTCTCCGAGGATGTTGATAGATGGAGGTATCATTTCAGGGAAAAGAATCTTCTGGACTAAGCCTAAGAGCTCTTCCTTCTGCCTCCGTACTTCTGGTGCTGGAGTGTAGGTGTGACTTCAGGGTTCTGGGTCCTGCAGTGGTGTCTGGAGATTCCCTGAGGACCACTAAAGCGTTAGATGTCATAGAGAAGCTAAAAGTCAGATCTGGATCCTGCTTCGGGGAGCTGCAATCTCAAGAGTCAAACACGCTGCAAATCGAGAGAAGGGAAGAGTGAGTGAATTGAGGAGATGCCAGAGCCCAGGCAGGAAGTCAGGTTCCATGAGACTGGCTTTAAAGTGGAATGCAAAACGCTGCCTTGGAGGTGCTGGTTTACATATCGGGTAGTAAGCAGGCCATGCTCCAAAGGTTGCAGCCTGGAGTGCAAGGACCACTTCAGTGCTACCCGCTCTCTTACCCCCGGGTGCACAGGTAACTGGCATGGATGCCAGCATTTATGGGCCAGCTGGCATTGTCCCTTCCTTCCCACCCTCCACCCAGACCTGCAGAAGAGAAGCAGGAAGGCTAAGGTCAGGGCTTTGTTCTGGTGACTTTTTTTTTTTTTCAAATGGACTTCCTGCATGCTTTATTCTCAGTGGAAAATAAGTACCAGAGTAATCCACAAGGAAAAAAAAAATCTAGTGCATTAAATACAAGCAGCATTTCCTGCAAGTAAATGGACTAAGATTGTAGTCCATTGTGTTGGGCATGATATACAATTTATTCATGTGATCGGCCCACACAAGAGGAAAACAAGCTCTAATTGACCCTGGCTTTAAATGTCTCTAGTAAGTCTTATCAGTTTTCTGAATCAATGGGGGAGGCTCTGATATCCAGAATGGGAGAGGAAGGGCAGCCTTGGTGACATGCTCCTTGGGGTAAAGCCAGCTCTTCTGGGAAACCTTGAATTGCAGGGTCATGAGAAGCTGTAAAAACATCATATGTCTTCGTTATTGTCATTCTATCATTAACATTATAGACTGCACTCTGGGTACATAACATCAGGACAGCTTCTGAGTCTGCTGTGGATTTGGCTGCCTGACTGAAGACATCAGGACCCTTGGGACTCAGCACAGCAGGCACAGGAGTGTGTCAGGTGTCTGCATCCAAGTGATGCTGCATTATTGGTCAGGTGAACTTGGGCAAGTCACTTAATCTTTCTGGTCTTAAATTTCCCAACTATAAAATAAGAATAATAATGTTTCCTGCCTAACAGGTTTCTTGGGGGAAGTTAAATGAGATGATATATTGAAAGCTCTTGCATAATGTCCCACCCAGAGTAACAGTGCAGCAAATATTGATTAATACTGCTGTTATCATCATCAAAATTTCTACATATTCAATGAAGCACATGGAAATCCAGCACAATATTAAGGAACTTTCCTAGTGTCCTCTTTTCTATAATGCCACTGACCAGGAAAGGCAAGGGTCTAGTTTCAAGCTTTGATTCAGCGCCTCTCTGACAATGTTCAAAATGGCTATGTTGACCTATTATTTTCTTTCTCTGGAACTAAGAACAAGGGGACAAAAATCAGAGTGAGTAGGGTGTATGGGCAGAAATCCATCCCTGTTCCGTCAGTACAGAACTGGAAAATCCACATACTCTCTGTAGAGTCAGGGGCCCAGATTTAGGGTTGGAATACCCGTATTCCTGCTCTACCACTTCCAAACTAGACAAGAAACATTCTCTCCGTTTTGTAGGAAGTGTTCTGCAAAATAAACTTAAAGTCACCTTAGCTGTATGACTCTTCCAAACTCTAGTGTCTTCAGCTCTCTAATTTTGAGGGAAAATATTTTACTGTCAGAGACTCAGTTTCTTACCGGTGGAATGGAAAATGGTAGCATTGCTCTGTGTCTTTCACAAGGCTGAAAATTAATAAGATCCTAGAACTGAGAGGAGTCCTCCTGGGCACCAATGGACTCCGAGTGTGGATCTGTCGCCCTCTTCTGCCCAGTGGTGGTACTGCCATGGTCCTTCTGCATCTCAAGGGTTATTCCGAATCAGCCTTAGACAGACATGGTGTGAACGCCCCTGGATAACTGAGATCTGCAAAGACTGGGGATTGATTCCTATTCCTTGACCATTAGTCTGAGTGTGACTAGACTGTTGTTACAGGTAGGCAGTCACACTCCAAGCCTTCTTTCAGAAAGAGCATTCCTAACAGACAATCAGATATTTAAATAAATCTACATAAATAATTTCTTTCACATCTTGTCCTTGTCCTCAATTAGTTGATCTGCCTTGGGCAAAGGTAGTTGTCAAAATTTGTCTTCCTACTACCCATAGCGGGGAGTAAATTCCCAAGTACCTTATTGTGGTACTTGGGTCTCCATCCCTCCCATCCTAACAGAGAACTGAGTAGAATGTCTCCACTGGTAAGAATTTCTGCACATGGAGAAGATCATCTCTGCAGGCAGTGGGCAATCTATGGACACTGCTGTGGACACTGGTTACCCTGCCACACCACCCATGCCCGGTACAACCAGGTGGGGAGAGCTGCAGCCTCTGGGGCCCATGGAGAGCAGTTTGTGAGAAGATTCCCATTGGTGCCAGAGTTTTAACTCTGAGAGGAGGGTAGATGTGTCACCATGGAGAGGAGGATCCAGAAAGAGGTGAAGGGGCAGGGGAAGATGGCCAGTCAGTTTTGGATATAGCACATTTGAGGGGTATGTCCTGGGGTGTTCCCTCCTTGCACCTATACCTCTCCACTCATTTGTGTGATCATTTGACCGTTTTCTTTCCCACTGGACTCCCTGAGAGCAAGGACTTTGTCTCTTAATGCTCAACATTGCAATTTTTGTCTCGCCCATAGCCTGTCCCTTGGTATGCATTAATTTGATGAGTAACTGAATTGTATTGGTGGCAGATAAATTTGAGCTCAACAATAGATCCAATAATTACTCTCAAATACTGATTTCCGCCAGGCATTGTGCTAGACTCATTTCTACCTAACTGTAACCCCATGAGTTTCCTAATAATAATCACTCTGAAAACACTGAAGCTAACAGGGGGTGACCAGCTTCCAATAGGGACAGCTTGGCTAACCAGTACTTTTCTTCCAGTACTAAGGTTCTTTTCACATTCCACCATTCCCTGCACAACAACCCCACAACAGTGGTTTCACTACTAAATAAGCACACAGAGTCATGTGGATTAGGTGGGTGGAGGTACAGCCCCCCAAACTGCCATTTACTAGTTCTATGTCACTTTGGGGTAGTTATTTCTCTTCCATGTGCCTCAGTTTCCTCATTTTAAAAATAAGAAAAGCAGCCAGGCCTGATGGCACATGCCTGTAATCCCAGCGGCTCAGGAGGCTGAGGCGGGAGGATCTCCAGTTCAAAGCCAGCCTCAGCAAAAGCAAGGTGCTGAGCAACTCAGTGAGACCCTGTCTCTAAATAAAATATAAAATAGGCCTGGGGATGTGGCTCAGTGGTTGAGTGCCCCTGACTGAGTTCAATCCCTAGTACTTCCCCACCCCCCCAAAAAGGGCAATACTATCTAACGCATAGGCAAGAGGGGATTTGAAATGTGACCATGTTTGTACAGTGCCAGGCGACCAGTGCTGAGACTGACAGTCCTCTTCCTCATCACTCCTGGGCTATCTAGGCCTCCCCTATCTCAACGTTCCATCTTTCGAGTCTGCCACATTAAGTGAATTCCATGCTTGCTCACAAAACCAAAGGTGGCTTTTCATGCCAGCTTCTCTGGGACTACCTAGGTGGGAGCTCTGGAGGCCTGGCACAGAGGCTGAACATGCCCGGGGCCCTGTCCCTGTAAGCTCTGCCACGTTGAACTTCTCTGGTTCAACAAGCCACTTGGCCAACAGGGATGGAGGGTTGTGACTTCCTCCTCAATAGGAATAATAACTGCAGAATAATGATATTCTCCCGAGCATCCCCAGTCTGCAGCCTCGGGAGCCCACAGCCCCTGGCCTCCCCAAACACGTAAGAGGCTGCATGGGAAGAAGGATTACCGGCACCACTCACCACACAAATGGAAATGTTCTTGAGCGAAGTGGATTCCAATAAAATATTTATAAATCCAGCCACATCCTAGAGGCCCCAGGGGGGTTTGCTGGTCAGAAAAATTCTACTTTGTAGCCCTTAATCCAGGCAGACGGCTCCTCAGTGAAATCCCTCCCTGACTATTGTTTTGGGGAATCCAGACTTTGGCCACCTGGTTTGATGCGACTCAAAGGCACTTTGTTCCCCACTGGCTTGAGCCCTGAGTCAAGATGTCTTCCCAGGTGCCCACGGTGGGCAGAGCTGGCCCCATTGCCAGAGGTCAAAGAGAAGAGCAGATCTCCAGTGCACCACCCCCAACAGGGTGC